TGTCAACGGCGAATGACCGCGAAATTCAAGCTAAGTATATAACGCATCTTCATAAGCAATGCTGTATGTTTTCCAGAGGCATATAATATGAGTAAGACGATGTCTTATACAGTGTTTATATTAAATACATAGTGGTTTAGTTAATTTTTAATAATTTTTCAATTCCAGGTTCGATATCCCATCACCACGGTGTAGGAAAGCTACGCAAGAAGTGGTATGAGCAGACAGTGAGCGGCGCGGGGCGCGCGCTGCTGCTGGCGGCGAAGCGCGCGCTGGATCCTGACAATATATTCGCATTGGCCAACATGGCCTTCGACGAATACATACCTGAAGCCAAAAGTAAACTATAATTATTTTTAATATATCAGCGAAAAAATTCAAAGATATGTGTATAGTCAACCAACCCGTAGTACAGTATGGTTGACTATGGCCTAGTCACCCTTACTTAGGGTAGGCTCCGAGCCTCTCAGTGAGGACACATAGTGAGCTGGTGATGAAATAACTTAAATATTATTATAGTTTTTTTTACACAATCTTATCTATCATCAAATAATAGCCCCTGGCGTAAAAAAATATGAAATACGTGCACAATAGAATTGACGTAATAATTGCAGTCAAAATTATTCCATAGTACGGCTAAGACTGAATCAAAAATATTTCTTTTAAAAAATGGCACTTTGATGCATAAATGTTCGCCACCCCTGCCCTATAAATCGCTAGTGAAATTGATAAAATGCATCAAAATGTATGAGAATACATGATATGCTTGAGACATATCGAAAATTAGTTAATTCCATACATTTTTGAATTTTATATCAGTAATAATCGAAAATAATCGAATGTAACTTTCTCTAGGGGAGAATATTTTCGTCCATCTGTAGCTTTGACAAAGATAATCTAAAGGAGGTAATCACTATACACGGACTGCTTGACTGGTGTCGTATATTATTGGTGAACTGCGTTTCTGGTCAAATTCGACATCTCAGTCAATAATGACATTTTCAGTTCGTGTATGGCGGCCTTTAGTTTGTTAACGCATTTGTTATCACATATCTGTATGAAAAATTGTAATGTAGATTTTTACGGTATTTTTTTTACATTTTTGTACCCATTCTCAAAATAGATGCCGTAATTTTTTTCTTTAATTGCCAAAGATCAAAATAATGTTTAAAAGGATTTTTTATTTTGTTAAACGAATTAAAAGACATTTATGTAAGTAGTTAATATAAAATACTATGTTAACAATTTCTTGACTCTTCTCAACTTTTTAGTCATTGTTACAATTTGTTTTTTTTTTTATTAAAATGATCAATTTAAACCAGCATTTAATATTAGAATGTGCGCACACTTTTGACTAAACTATCGCACAACTGTCTAGTCGCGCTTTGATTACTATTAGCTTAGAGGCTACACTACTCCCTTTTTAGTTGTTCAACTAAACAGTTGAATTCGCTGCGAAACAATCGACAATAATACATTGTACGATAGTTTAATCAAAGGTGTGCGCCCGCTCTAAATAAAAACAATAAGGTTTTATTTTTTAATAGTAACTTAATTGAAATGGATATTTGTGTTACAAAATGGTGTTAAAGTTACCAAATACAAACATCTTAGTTTAAAAAAAGAATACTGTTGTTGACATTTAATAGACAAAATGTTGACACTGTGTGTGTATGTGTGTTTGTGTGCGTGTGTTGTGTTACCATAGATAAAAAAAAAATATACATTATGAAGGCCTATGATATCAATTATGTTATTTTTTATAGACTTCCCAAAAGAAGAGCGTAATCAATTCTGTATTTTTGTTTAAAAAATTGTTTTACTTTCTCTTAAGTGTTGTTTTTTTTTTCATTGATGGACATGATTTTTAGATATAAATAAACAGTGCCTTTTAATGTACATTTCCTAAGCACAATCTCTTAACTCTTAAAATATATACCTTTTTCCTATCAAACTTTCTATGTCTGTTAAGCTTTCATTTTGAAATATGTTACATATTTTTCTATTATTATTTAAAACTATCTGTTATTGTCCTATATCAATGATATTTTTTTCTTATTTCTGTAAACACAAAAATATACATCTTGTATATTAAGACCATAAACCCTTTACGTGGGTTTTTTGTTATTTGAAGGTTAAATTACAATTTATATTTTAGCTTTCTTATTAATCTCTATACAAAACATTCCTAATCAAATGTGCAAGCTAATTATAAACAAAATGGTGTTCGTGAAATTATTTTTAAGGTGAACATGTAGATAATAAATGATTTTGACTATCGCAGTTTTTTTTTACTTTTTACCATAAATCAATGTTTCCTACTACTACAAACCTAAACTACAAACGCCTTTTAAATAAATCATTGTCATTCTGTGTAAGTGGCCATTTTTTTTCGCAGGAGCTTTTAACAAACGTTTCGGTCAGAAGTTCAATGAAACAATGATTACATAAATTATGTGATTCCTTGGTCTTAATGAAAATACCAATCGAATTAACAACCCTTTTGAAGTTGAATACAAAAGTTCTATTCCACAGGATACACCAGCCATCGTTTTACGAAATGGCGCGAGTTCATATTTAGCAACGTGAATCATCTTTTTTAAGAAAATTTTTGCGTTAATATTAAAAATTTCATTTTGACATAAAATAAGTTTATTTAAAATATAATGAAATACAACTTAATGTTCTAATATTATAGTTTTGTTATTTCATCATTTCACCTTATCCGTTTTATTATAAACTTTTTTTTTTTTTATTTAAATGTGCAATCGTTTTAGTACTTTTATACTAACGTAGTATCAATTAAATTAGTTAAATACCACATTTGTTTATATATGTTTTTACACTAATTTTAGGGATAGTCGATTTTCTAAATACCTTTCCGACCTTTCTGAAAAAAAAGTTTGTTTTGTTTTCATTTACCCTTGATTTTGGTCTTCGGGAACTTACCGTTTCATTTATTTTTCACTACTGGCCAAAATAATACATCTAAACTGCTTTCTACACTTTACAAACAATAAAAATCATTCTTAATTTAAATTTAAGTCTGATTGTGTAAAAAAATTATGAAAATATTTAATGAATATGTCAAAACATCGCAGTTTCCGTCAAGTTTTATAAACAATTTTGCGGGTAAAATATTGTAGGGATAGTTTGATCTTCAAAAGTTAACTTTGTTTTTTTTTTGTGATTTCATGCGTAATAAATAAAGATGATAGATTTACTATCGCCTTTTCGTTCTTTTCTTAAGCCTAAAAATATAATAACGGATAATAATGTGTTCCGACTGCATTATAAGTTCACGGTGATAATGTTGTTCATGTTCACTTTGATGGTTACTTCTAAACAGTTTTTTGGTGAACCAATGCATTGTATGAGCGGCTCAGATAAAGATGATAACAAAGATGCTATCAACAATTACTGTTGGATTTATGGGACGTATACATTAAAAAGCCAACTAAATGGTAAGTGCTACAATTTTTTCCCTTATAAACATGACCATGCTCTTTCAAACTGATGTAACATAAAACAAAATTATTTCTTATTCAATATGAAAGTCTAAAATCTGTGTTTGTGTCACAGACTCATACATTAGGTCGATGAAAACTTTGAACCCTTAATAGAATAGTTTAAATTCAAATTTCATTAATTTAATATGATAAAGTGGAACTTAAACAATTGCCACTATGAAAAAATATAAGTTAAATAAAATGAATTATTGTTTATAGTTTGTGTTATTTTTTTATTTGATAACTCCACACTCATTAATCCGGCTGTAGAAACTTGCCAGTGTAAAAATGTTTATGTTAATATTACCAGCATTCCAATAATTGAAAGAATAATTGTTTCTGTTAAAATTAGGTGTTGCAGAGATTATGTATGTTATTTACAGGTATAGAAGGTAAACACATGGTGTATGCAGGAGTGGGTCCTGGCTCAAATAAAAATGATGACCAAATTGAACATACATATTACCAATGGGTCTGTTTTGTGCTACTTGGACAGGCTTTCATGTTCTACATACCACATTACCTTTGGAAGTCTTGGGAGGGGGGTAGAGTGAGAGATTTGTCTGCTAATTTGAGTAAGTATTAATGTAATCAAGTGTTTCCCTTTGGGGTGACTTTTTCCCATTGGATTGTTTGATTGCAAGGATTCAATTTGACCCAATAAGTAAAAACTTATTAGGTGGGACAATCAGCCTAACAGAAAATACATGATTTATTCTATTTTATTATGTCTTAAAAAAGAGTATACAATACTTACAATCAGAAGATCTTACATTGGTAAAAAAAGTTACCTAGTTATTTTATCTAGTTGCAGTCAAAGTAAGACAAAGCACTGTAATGAAATTATAAGAACAGTCAGTTTAAATTAAGAAAAAGATTCATTTCCATGTTATTTTTCTAGCATTACCCATTGTAGCAAAAGACTGGACTGACCAGCCTCGTCACCAACTGCTAGCCTATTTTAATAGTCTGAACACCTGCACACACAATATGTATGCACTTCGGTTTGCATTCTGTGAATTTTTGAACCTTGCAAATGTGGTAAGTAAATATTAGTTAAATGAACTTTATATGGAGGCAGTCACAGATAAAATTTCATTTATAATAATTCTTTTTAATATATATTTATCATTGTTTTAGATTGGTCAAATATTTCTCTTAGATGTATTCTTGGATGGATCATTCCGCGATTACGGTACCGCTGTGGCATCATTCACCTACCATCCACGTCTCTCCCCTGACTTAACAGACTTTGTCTCAGTTAACCCGATGGATAAATTCTTCCCGAAGGTAACAAAATGCTGGTTCAGGTCATACGGGCCTTCAGGAACGATACAATTTAAAGACCGATTATGTGTATTACCATTAAATGTTATTAATGAAAAGATATTTGTCATACTCTGGTTTTGGTTGGTTATTTTAGCTTCTTTCTCTGCTCTAGCTGTATTTTTTCGTATACTGATTTTCTGTATTCCAGCATTACGTACATATATCCTTACAGCCAGATTAAGACGTATCAAACGATCGCCGGTATCAAAAATTGTTAAACACTACAGTTTTGGTGACTGGTTCGTACTTTATTTGTTGAGCAAAAATATTAATCAAATTGTTTGTATAGATTTAGTTAAGGAATTGGCAAAAGACTTACAGTATAAGACTGAATGTGTTTAATTCTTTGTTTTATAAAACATAAATGATTAAAATATTGTTAGGACAAAGTTATGTAGCTGGTCTTCTTACAATTTACTAAATTATAAAACAAACATGTAAACTTAATAAGCGCTGACTGGTAAGAGTACATTAGAAATAAATAAGTGTTGATTTCTAAGAATCTGTTTTTATTATAATATTGAGAATTGTGATTAAAGGAATACTCAAAACATGGTACATTTGTGATATTAATTAATTTAGAAACATGTTTTAGTTAAAATATTTGAATAATTTCAGTTAAGTTTTTTCCAAAGCACTTTTTAGTTCAATAATATGTGTGATTCAAAGTAAAATACTTAAATTTTAAGTTTCTTGGTTAGGTAACTAACAGTATAGTTTTATACTGTCTTGATTACCAATTTGCTTTTAGTTGTTTTTTTTTGGTTGATTGTTTAATTTTAGGTAAATTCTAAAAAAAGAAGTTTGATTTTGTTTTATGTTAAATTTTATTACAGTTATCAGTTTCTTTTGTTTTTCATCAGATTTATTATTTTGATTAAATAATATTAAGCTGAAATAAATTAGTTTTATTTCTTTATATTGCTTGCGACACTGAAATAAGACAGGACGACACTGATGTGACATTGTTGAAAACTAACTATTTATTACCACTGTTCTTGGGTTTTATCAGCCAATAATCTAGGCTATGGGCTAGCTCTTCTGGAGGACACCCATACCGCTTATACCACATTTTGATGGAACACCAAAATGAAGTATATAGAAAGATTACATGAGTGACATCCTCATATATACTTCTTGTGAAAATTGTAAGAAAAAACAGTGCCTAACATTACATAGTTATATAAATTGGTTTACAAGTAATGTGTACATTAAAGGTTTTGGATTGGAATAAAGTAGGTAAAAAATATTTTAATGAACATAGCTTATAAAAAACTTACAATAATCATTATACTAATAAAGGTTATCCAGAGCAACCACGACAACCACAATGAACACATTCTACAATTCTTCCTTCTTCCAGCTTGCTTTTAGGAACTCTGCAGATACAATTGGTTGCAAAATTAGTGTCTCTTGTTTGTATACATCTTAAACAGCACAAGTTCTCATATCCAGTTTTCTTCCATTTAGCAATCAAATTAGCATCGGCTATTTTTTCATCCAAACAGAACTGATACAGCTCTCTACTGATAGCTTTACGTCTATAAAATAAGTCGTAAATGTATCTAGACTTTTGATGATGTATTTTGAATATCGGCCACAGTGATTCCTGCTTTCTCTTTCCCTCGTGAGGTTCTGTCTCCGCTGAAAAAACAGAAAGATAACCTTTAGCATTGAATTTATATAATTTTAGTTGCTTTTGGTCACTGAAAAAGTAAATCTTAAGGAACACAGCAATAAATTTGTAACCTCTAGCTCCCTGTTTATCAGGTTAAGGTGGCCTAATTACTAAAGATATTTTTCGAGTTGGCTTACCTTCTCGCATTTTTTGTTCGAGTTCCTCAAGTGTAGGTTCAATCAATTCCCATCCCTCAGGAGGTGACTTACGACTGCGACGAACTTTCGGCATTATTTTATTGGCAAACAAACCTGAAAAACCAAAGGACATAAACGTTATCAAATATATCATGAAATAGATTATAATATTTATAAGATTTTTGTTTATTATTCTAGTTTTATACAAAGATTTATTACCTAGTCTTAAACTTGTTTTATAGTAGATTTTAAACGTTAAGTATACAACCAAAACAAGCAAGATTATTTCGTTTTCAATGCGTTGTTGACAGATGACAGTGACACTGACGGGTTCACAAAATGCAGAAAATATTTTACTCGAAAGGTCACAGCTTAAACAGATTGAAAACAATTTATTTCAAAGATTCTTTTTTTCTAATTTAGTCGTCCGTAATATTGTATTCTAGTAATGTTTTATAGACTTCTGTGTTTATCAATGCAGCTTCCAGATATTTTAGTAATATTACTTTAGTTAAGTACACTAAAGTTCATAACGTAACGTAAAACGAAACGACATTACTGTTTTGAAATTTACATTTTAACTTAATTTTAACATGAATCATGAATAAAATATTTATCTTTCCACCAACCATTGATTAAATACATTACATTTCCATACGAAAAATAATAATCGCCAAAGAAACACTTTTGGTTCTAAAAGTCAGATTAGCAATATATTGGGTAGTTTGTTAACACTACTGTTTAGAAATAGTAGTATAGGTGCGTCACAGGTTGCGGTAGTCACATCATCTTCATCTTCCCCCCTTATCCTACTCCCGTAGTATCGGGGCAACAAGTTTTTGTCCTCCACATAACTATCATCCGTCGTATTACTCATCAGTTAAATTAGTAAATTTTACAGCGTTGAAATTAGACGTAAGTTACTGACCCTATTAAAATCAACAACCTACGAAATTTTATGTTTACGAAACTGCTAAAGATTGCTTATCTTACTTATATTAAGTAAGTTTCTTACATAGTTACTCCAGTTAAGAATAGACAGAAACCTTATCCATTTTAAATGTCTAAAAGTGTTTTAATTAACACAAGCTGAATTAACAATATTTAGTGTACAAGTTACAGAGAAGTAGCAGTATCTTATGTTTACGAAAACGATCTTCATGAGCAGAGTAAACTGCAGATGAGGAAAGCGATGTCGATGATGGCACACGGCTATGGTGGATAGTGTTGGGGTTTAGCTCAAGACCAGAACCATCAAAACAACATTCTTAATCCTATCCGTTATTGCTACATAGGCAGGCAGTTCGCCGCACCCTAAAAATACTAAAACAGCTACATGAAATACAAACAAATTGCTGTACAAAATGTAAAATTTGTGAAAAAGCCGCTATTTTTCACTCTTAGCTTTGTTAACGAATTGAGATTAATCTGAGAAACTTTTAAAATAATTATTTGTGTTTGCGTAATTGCTATCTCTATCTCTTATCTGCTATGTTTAGAACTTTTTATAAGAAGAAAAGATCCGTTAGATAATAGTGTTTGTTGTGTTAAGAATTACATTCACAACTTTATTTTTCAGCTTACGAGTCATCTTTTTTAGCGTATGAAGTTAATTTTCTTTTTTTACAACTCGTCACATTTTACCTGTAGTGTGTGAATAACGGGCCTACCTATGCAGTGTGCGAGTGTACGATAAATTCCCTTCACGCTCCCACCAATAGTATCGAGAGCGAGTCAGAGAGAGACGGGAATAGCTTACGCGACTCGTTTACTTTGGAATGCGGTGTTGCGCTCGCGCACCTATACAGGCAGCCAGTCATTTTATATCTTCGCAACTAGGCTGTGGTAGCCGCGGAACTTTACAAACTTTGATAAAAAAATGTGTGTTTGACGCCGATTTATGTGTTGTTGATTGTAAATAAGTGTTGTATTGTGTAAAAAAGTGAAGGAAATTTGTGTTATGAAGTTAAGTTGACGCAGCTACAAAGGAACTTCGGGTGTATTGCTTATTTACCTGTAAGTTAAAGCGTACGTGTCGTGTGACGTCGAAGTTTTTACTCCTGCCGGTCCTTTTCTTTGCGAATGAGACGGCCTTTTGTATGACCTATAGCATATTATAATAGCATATTTAAAAAATGTCGACATGAATGATTAATAAATAATAATACCTTGATAAAAGGTTACGTTAATTCATTGCAGAATAATATCTGAATTTATTGTTTCTCTTCCGAGTGCGACAAATAAACTTGAATTTTTATACTTAAATTCTTTACATGGGTAACTTAGAAGTATTAAGAATAACCTTGCACAGAACAAAAAATGGGTTTCCTTTATTGAGTCAAGTAAGTTAGCAAAAAGGAACTCGAAACAATTTATTCGATTTCCATTTTCAGATCTACCGTTGCAGAGCGCCTAAATTAAACGCGTCGAATAAAAACTTGCCATTCTATGTTACTCCGTAACTAAACAACTATATTTCAATTATATATAAAATGAAAAATAAATGATGCAAACGGTATATAACAAATCTACGCTATATTAATTGCCACTCGTCCTTCGTAGAAACGTAAAAATTTCGTGACGTTATATTAATAAATAATTCAATTTGAAAGTTACCTTGTTATATAACTTGTGTATAAATAAACTCGTTTAGATTTGTACAATAACTAAAATACAGGTTTTACGATAAAACATCTTCGTCTAAGATGAGAGTAAAATAAAACAGCAAGAAACCAAAATTAGAATCTGGACTATGGATTTGTGAAAACTTCCTTTACCATCCATCCATAGACAATTCATATTATTATATTGATCATATACAAAATCTTTTATCTACGTTCGTAAGATAAACAATCTTCATCATCATCACCAGCTCACTATACAACCCCACCGAGGGGCTCGGAGCCTACCCTAAGTAAGGGGTGATTTGGCTGGACAGTCCGGGTTGGTTGACTTCACACATATCTTGTGCAGGTTGCATCACGATGTTTTCCTTCACCGTAAGATCACATTAGTACACAGCGAGATTCAAACCCAAGACCTGTAGATTTACAATTCAAGTGCTTTAACCACTAAGCCACCGACGCTCTTAACATAAACAATATCGATTATAAACTAACTGCCGTACTCAAAATTCTTAAATGGTAACTAAGTTCCTCGTTCTAACGTCACTATGCAGTTAGCTATCTTTGTAAAATAAATACGCAAAGGCAAGGGCAATAAAGGTATCATATACTATGGACCATACTTTAATTGAATAGTATATGTTAATTTGTTGCTTAGCGTTATAAAAACTTAATTTAATCTATCAATACTCGTTTTGGGGTTCACTAGTGATGTAATGACTCCAAGTCACGTTCCATTCAGTTCTAGCTATAAAAAGTTCCGTGCAATTAAACGAACTATATTGGATAACTGTTTACTGGGAATAAAGATTAAAAAATAAGTCGATTTTTGGTCCAATTGGAACAGGCAGACTAAGGTATACGAAACCATAACTTTAAATAAAAATGAATTTGAAATAGACAGATCGTTCATCTAACTTATTTACAGCTGTTGCTTGCGATTACGTCCCCGTGTAATTAAAAAAATAATAAAAGACATAGCCTATCTTACTCACAGATAAATTACCTTTCTGATGGTAAAAGAATTTTTAAAATAGGCCAGTAGTTTTTGAGTTATTGCAATACATACAAAAATACAAATCTTTCTTCTTTATATTAGTATAGATGTCTCCAGAACAGCTTCATATCCATGAATATACGAAATTTTATATAGACATACAAACTGTCTGGAAAAAGATAGACTAGGCACATAGACATTTACAGAAGTTTAAAAACTTGTATAGGCTCGGTTTTAAAAATTCCTCTGCACGTATTCGTCAATAGAATACGCACATATATGCATACTTATAAAAGTCGTATTAATTTATGCAACTGACTGTACTTATCAAACAAGTCACTTTAAAAAAATTACATTTACTTAATATACTGTGAGATATAGTGAACTAAGTTAAACAAAAGCTCTCACGACGTAACCCTGAGTAGAATGAGGTCAATAGAATTAAGGATTACTAAAAAGCCTTCATATAAAATGTTTGCAAATCTGTTGACGGACACGCGCGTTTGCAATCATATTGTGTTATGATCAAAATACTTTAAATCAATAATATTAAACAATTCTTAAAAGATTTTTAACTTGTCTACAAAAAGCAATTGTTAACAATGTTTTCTTTGTTTTGTAATTAATATTATTTTTTCCAAAAATTATAGCGAGTTACGTATAGAGTTTACAAACTTTCACCTACTATTATAGACGTTTTAGCGATGAATTTTGAAAACAAAATTAGTATTTGAATTAGTAGTGACGTCTGTGCATCTAAAATCTCTAGTGCCTTAAATTTCCGGCGTATTTCAGGTATATGTTGATATAAATAATAATTTTTACAAGTGTAAGTTTTGCATTTGTTAGCGACTGTACGTTGCAACTCCAACAAAGATTTCACTCGTATTTAATAATATCTATAAATTGCGAATATATTAACTTAATCTTTTGACAGCGTGCGTCATCGTATCGAATAGGATGTAAAGTTCACAATATAGCCTCGGCTAAACTGTGAACAATATTGAAGCATCGTTATACGCGTAATTGGATACTTTTATAATAAAGTAAATAATACTGTTTATTTAGGAAACCTTTTCTTTATAGAATTTTATATTTAAGAACAATATAAATAACCAAAATTAGACCTATTACTAAACAAAATCTTTGCGTATCAAATTAATACGCGAACGCCCAAATAAGGCTGTCAGGAACACGAAAACGTGGCCGCCCTAAACAAAACTTGGCGGCGTTCAGTGGCGGCCGACTTGAAGGCAATCGGGCTGTCATGGTCCGAGACACAATGCAGAGCCCAGGACAGAGTGAGCTGGCGGCGTAATGTGGACGCTCTCTGCCCCACTTTGGGGACATAGGAATTGAAGAGAGAGACAGTAAATTGACCAAACGATATATTCTTAACTTCTCAAAATGTAAAGAAATTAATAATTTAGATAATTAGCAAATATCATCATTACATAATAGGAATGTGGAACTATTAAATTACTTGCAATTATATGTATGGAATGTAATTACGATACTGTATATGATGTGATTATATTAAGGTCAAATGGGTGATGTATATTGTGGGAGTCATAGCATTTATGTCGGCACATTGTCAGTGCGTTTTTAATAAATATTCATCGCTGTAACGAGTTAGCAGTTACCTTTGCGCAAGCTTTTAATTGATTGTATATGCAATTATTTAATTACTAAGCATTTAGACATTTTATTAACGAATTCATCCGACTATGATGAAGATGGCAACATCCACGACCTTTGTAAAAGGATGTACACAATTCTACCAGAATGATTCAAATTGAATCCAAAATCTTTGCGAAGACAACTGCAAACTGATAACTAAATGATTTTTTATGTGAAATCTATTACCAATTTATTTTAGTTACATTTAACACTAGCTGTTGCTCACGACTTCGTACCCGTGAAATTATAAATTGTAAAAAAGTAGCTTGTGTTACTCAGCGATAACGTAGCATTTTAATGGTGAAAAATTTTTTGAAATACGCCCAGTAGTTCTGAGTTATTTCAATACATAGAAATATCCAAAAATACAAATCTTTACACTTTATAATATTAGTATAGATATAGATGAAAACTAAGAAATAGCTTATGTTCAACATGAGTAGAAGTCAAGCATGATCGGTTACGCCAGATAATTTGGTAGAAAGCAGTGATGGCTGAGGCTAACAGATTTCACCGGCGTCGCGCTGACCGGTCGTCACTCAGCATCGCTCCTGAATTGGTCGCACACACGACATGCATTCCTAATATGATACCCTTGTTTTAGCACAAAATATACATAAATTCAATGAAAAAGTAAAAGACCAACAACGGTAATATCGATATGCATTCAGAAAATCATTATGCAATCTATAGATAAAGCGAATTTTTGAGATATGTCAAACCTGGGCCAGTTTTATTGACTACCAGCTGTTCCCGTGCGACTTCATCCGCATATAATTATGAAAATTTTATTTTGTTGTTTACAAATTATCAATTGCAAATGTCAAAATGACATGACATTGTGACAAACCATGGCAACCTTGTTTCCTTGATGTTGGCAGCAACTTATGGTCTCTTTCCCACATTAGAGTTTTTATCCAAAATATTTACCCCCTAAGTTTAATGGCGTGAAATATATAGCCTAAAGGGTGACGTAAGTGTAGGGCTTTTTATTTAAAAAATAATTATTCAAAAATATGCTGTAATTGAGCGTCGGTGGCTCAGTGGTTTGAACACTTGACTTGTAATCCACAGGTCTTGGGTTCGAATCCCGCCGCCGTGTACCAATGTGATTTTCGATTTTTCGAATTTTCATATGTACATAATTTACCCGACGTTCTTACGGTGAAGGAAAACATCGTGATGCAACCTGCACATATCGGCGAAGAAATTCAAAGATATGTGTGAAGTCAACCAACCCGCACTTGGCCAGCGTGGTTGACTATGGCCTAGTCACCCCGTATTAGGGTAGGCTCCGAGCCCCTCGGTGGGGACGTATAGTGAGCTGGTGATGATGATGCTGTAATTGCTGACATCTTAGGCAACAAAGAAGTGTGTGTTTACGCATTATTACAATAGTATAGATGGTTTTAATGGGGTTGGCAACACACCGATTGATGACAGAAAACAGAATATAAAAATCAAATGGGATACATTGAATAATTATAAAGCATTTATCTCTAATGCTCGTTAAAAACTGGTTCACAATTTTTAAAATTAATGTTGTAGGTAATATACGTATGTTCTTTGCGAATTAAAATACATTCTTATGTAAGAGAATAAAATAATTATTGAAGAGAAACTGAACTGACAAAAAACTATTCATAGCTGAACAATACAACCAAATTGATTACTTTGTCAATATTCTTATAGATCACATTTTTTTTATGCTTTGT